TTCCTTCCAAACTTCCTACCCAAAACCAGGATACTTTGCAGTTAGTTGTCTGTAGTACTGGAGTTTGACAAGAGAAAATTGAGCAGATGATGGGAATATCTCCTCCACAGCAGATAAGGGAATGGAGGGTGAGGGCAGCTGGTCTTAATAGCAGGAAGCTGAAGTGATAAATTCTTCCACTATCCTTCTCAGAGTTTAGCTATGACGTGTGAACAGAGTACCAGCCTGCAGATGGTAGGCAGAGGTCCAAATAGTCTTTGAGTAAGTCACATACTTCCTATATTAAGCATGACATAAAATTGATCCTCTGATTGGATAGGATCTCCTGGGTCACACTAACCCTCGTAAAGACCTTTAGCAGTTAACAGGAGCTTGCAGTAACTGAGATATGAGATGATAGTTTTAGCTGTATGGATGACTAGGGAAACCAAAATGTATCAGTTAAAGGAAAAGCAATGATGCTTGCTATTCTCCTTTGTAGTGCTCTTGCATATTGAGGCTGTGGTAAACTTGCTATGGTCAACTTGCTCTCTTGGGCTAGGGACAGAAGTTACACATAAACCTGTTTAAATGATCAGAAACTGGTTTAAACCTGTAACAGAACAGAAGCTCAGTGCACACAAACCAGTTTCAAAATGGCTGAAATGGGTTTAAGATAAACCTGGTTGAATGTAGTATCAGACCTAACTGATTTGGGTCAAACCAGTTTATGAAACTTCTGTCCCAGACCCCTTCTTTGTTCAAGTTAAATCATAGTCCCCCAGCATGCTTTCCAGCCCTGGGCTGGGCTGTCTGCTCCAGAGAGCAGAGCTGGCCCTGCCTCTCTGTTCCCTAGCTGAAGCAGTGAGGGCTGGATGATGGTGGGGGCAGCTTGGCTGATGATGCAGCCCAGACTGCGGGGGGCCTTCCACCCCTTCCCCTGGCAAACCCCAGCTGTGGTCTGGGGCCGAGGGGGGGGTATTAAACACCCCTTCCCCTGCTCAAACTTACTGCTGGCTACACTATGAACTACCAATCCCAGAGGCACCTAGAAGCAGGAAGAGAAAGCAATGAGCAACCTTGCAGAGTCCTGCTGTTGTAATTCTGGACTGCAAATCCCAGAAACCTTAGGGGCAGCAGGAAGAGGAAGTGAACACACAGCCAGAGAGCCCTGCTCTGAGGCCCCTGGCTTGAGCCACTGCAGGCATGTGGCTACACTTCCTGAATCGAAGGTAAATATGTGTTCACTTCTGTTTCAATTTAATCTGTGCAGTTTAGACTAATCTGCAAAGACTGAATCGATTCAGCCTTGGGGTTTTTGACTGCGTGTACCTAGCCCTAGGCAACAGTGCACTCAAGTATGCTGTGCTTTTCCTGGCAGGCTGCCTCCTCATGAGGTTTGGCACCAGTTAGCCTGTTTGCATGGTTCTGACTGCAATGACTCCAGTTTAAGAGGCAGCCTGCACAGAACTACACCGTGTGCTTGAAGGTGCTGCCATTGTGGATAGAAAATTTACCATAAAGGCATAGTCCAGAGTATAAGGGTTTATTTGGAGCTCTTCCTATGAAGGCAATGGAATGGACGCCTTAGGTACCAGGCCTATCTATGTGGGATCTTGGTTGGTCTGCAAAGTGAGGAACTCCTGACTGTCTGTCACAATTGTCAGGCCTGCTCTCTTTGATGTCCTCTGGTCTGTTGCACATCTGGGAGACAGTGTGGGTTTAGACTGGGGCCTTGGGCCAATGCCCTCTTCAGTATTTTGCAACATGGACAAGTGATTGGAACACTATTGGAGGTGTGGCTTTTTATCCTTAACCCTTGATTAAGTTGGTTCCTAAGGTATGCAATCCCAAATAGATAGGACCTAGCACATGCTAGTGTTTAAACAGGAAGTAGCCTCCATTCACCATGAGCCCAGAACAGTAGAGATCACACAGGTAAACAATGGCCAGTCAGGTGAGGTCTGTAAAGCAGTAGGAAGGCAGCTGGAGGACCACCAAAATACTTTTAAGCGCAGATGTGTCTGCATGAAAATCTCTGAGGCATCTTTTTCTGACTAAAATTTAATCCTAATTCCAAAAGAAGTGAACTCTCTTCTAGAGCAACCTCTCACTTTATGTGGACACAGCTCTTTTCATCAGTATGATCGTGTAAAGTAGCCAGGTAGACAAACCTTTAGTTTTTCGGCAGAAAGGTTGGCAAGTATAGACATAATTTGTAAGGCCCAGGAAAGGTCTGAATTGAAAATAATGCCTAGGTAATGGGACTGAACGATAGGAAAATGGTGGTGTTGTCAGTAGAGACTAAGAAGGGATAGCTGTTGGATGATAGTTAACAAACTATATATATATAAATAGTTCCAGCTGGTGTAATGCCAGGGAAGTGTTCTTTAGCAGCACAAAGATCTCACCCAGTCGTGGGTATACCTGTGAACTACTTGGCTACTGCTGGAGTTAGCCATGCTATCCTTGGGGATGACGTGGGTAAACAGGGTGGCTCTGAACAGACACAGCTGTATTATTTATGTAGAGCTTGAAGCCAACAGGGTTTCTAACATGTTTTTCTACTGCACTTTGTGTGAATTGTAAGTCCTTTCTCATTGCTACAGGTTCCGTGTCTCCAGGGGGGTGTTGTGATGGAGCATCTCTCTACTGCCATGACATTGTAGTTACAAGTGCTTATGGCTTGCACTTTACCATAACGGAACAGGAATAATCTCCCTAAACTCTGTGCAAAACATGAATTCTTTAAAAAATATAAAGGCCCCTCTGCCTTGCAAATAATGTATTTATTTGTTTTACTTCAAGAGATTTTTTTAAATTAACTTAATTTAAATTAACTTAAATTAACTTATTTTCCATTTTAAGTGTTTTTCTTCACGATTGTATGGGGTTTTTTTTTTCCGTTATGGTCAGTAAAACAAAATAAACCAGTTACTCTTTCTCATGGACTGACAATGCTGTTTTGTTTAGGTTTTTGTAATGCTTAAACTTCCTGTACAGTTGTTCAGAATGCTCCATTAAAAAGGCATGGGGAGGACAATCTAAGGCTTAAATATCTAATGCTATCTTTCGGTTAAGATTTCCAAAGTGACTAGTAGTGTTAATACCCAAATCAAGCGGGTACCACCTTTAGACATCTTAATGGTCCTGATTTTCTTATTAGAAAGTGCTGGGCATCAACCTTCTGAAAATCAGAACCTGTAAAAATGTCCCAAAATCTCTAGTCACTTTGGAAATCTTGGTCTTCACGGTTTAGTTAAATAAAAGAAATAGTAGCATATTACAACAAAATGGAAGAGACAGATTTCTTTTGAGCTAACTCATCCTGTACACAGTCTTAGAATGCAGACAGTAAGGCCAAAACAGAGAAAATGGGAAGAGCAATATGTAGCTTGTGGAGGGATAGTGACTTATGGCCGTTTCATTTTTACAAAGGAAGTGCATTGTAGGGAAGAGTGGATTTTGACAAGTGATCTTGAGGTCGAATGGTCACAAACTACTTCAAGATCGTTTCAGGCTGGACATAAGGAAGAACTTCTTTACTGTCCGAGCCCCCAAGGTCTGGAACAGCCTGCCACCGGAGGTGGTTCAAGCGCCTTCATTGAACACCTTCAAGATGAAACTGGATGCTTATCTTGCTGGGATCCTATGACCCCAGCTGACTTCCTGCTCTTTGGGCGGGGGGCTGGACTCGATGATCTTCCGAGGTCCCTTCCAGCCCTGATGTCTATGAAATCTCATTGCCACAAACTTTCTGAGAAATTCAAGGTGCAGAGATGGGGATTAGACTCTTCAGAGTATTAAGAACAAATTAATTGTGATGGAACTGACCAGTTGTCCAACTTGCCCACTAACTAACTCTAAAAGTTGTCAATGCTAGGTGACGGTACAAAACGCCATACTTAATCTAATAATGCAGTTGTCTACTATGGGAAGATTATTATCTGATCTGGAGCTGATGAGCTCTTTTAAGCCTAGAATTATGAAGACTGATAACCTTTAATATCTCCATCCTGGCAAATATAATTGCAGATGTTACTCTGATTCATACATGCCTTTACTGAAACTTTTTCTGTTTTTTTCTCCCTTAAGCATCCATTTTGCATCTCGAAGTTCAACAGATAAATTATATGTTGGATAAAACTGCGTCACTGTATCACTTGCCTTTCAGTTTTAAGGTGTGTCTTTATGTAAAAATAAAGAGCAGTTGATTGGACACTTATGTACTCTTAGATATTTTATCTCATCTTGTTTTCCTTTCTTTGCACCAGATCCTGCTTACTTTTTTCGTAGGGCCAACACCAACAGTGGGTGCACTTTCTGCATAAGTGGTGGAAGACAAATCGGTCTAGTTGTTAATACCTATAGGTAGCAGTCCACATTGCCCACCCCCAGTCACAGAATCATAGGAAGTGAGGTTGGAAGGGACCTCAGGAGGTTATCTAGGCCAACCCCCTGCTCAAAGCAGGATCAGCCCCTAGTAGTCCCCTTCATTGACTTGCTTCAGGCCTCTGCTGAGGTGCTTTCAGCTACTGCACCTAGTAAAACCAATAACCCTGGGCTGGGATTAGATTTAGGGCAACCAACTTTCTTGTTGGCATGCCTGAAAGCATTAGGAAAGTGGCCTCTAAAGAAGTATTATTGAAAGCTAGCCCTCTGGAGCTCCGGACCCCTTGCCCAGGGCAAATCTCCTGTGACTGAGCTAACCAGGGGATAGCCTTCTAAAGATGCCTGCTGTCCAGGGCTGGTCCAAGGGTAACTGGCACCCTAGGCGAACTGTGTACCTCAGTGCCCCCACCACTTCCAATATAGAGGAAAATAAGAAGTCTAGAATTAACTTTTATGGCTCAGTGGGGAGAGCAGCCTGGAGATTGGCCCCTGCAGTCATGGGCGACTGGTGTCACCTTAGTCAGGGGGGACACGTGCCCCCCAGTGACCAGTCAGCGACTGGGGGAGTTCCCCTACGGCCAATCTTGCCAACTGGTGGGGAGGGGGGTCCCCCCTGTGGCAAAACTCACCGACTGGGAAGCGGCTGGGGTGCTCCCAAAAGCGGCCATGGTGCTACATCCGGTGCTCCCACTGCCCAGCCGGTCGGTGCCCTAAGCAGGGAGCGGGGTCAGTCAGGGAGTGTACCAGTGCTCTCAGGGGGGGCACATGCACCCTCTATGTGTTGCCACCGCCTGCAGTCCCAATGCTGGCCCTGGCTCCGGCCCCACGGGGTGGGTGCGCTGGCTGGGAGTGAGGGGCACCACTGGCCTGGGGGCAGGGAGTGAGGGGCACTAGCAGGACTGGGGCCAGAGCCTGTCTAAGGTGGAGCCGCAGCTGGCCATGGCTGTTATTTAGAAAGATGTTCCTGTTATTTTGTTCCGTGTATCATTTTGGTGCCCCCCCCCCCCCAATTTGTCACCGTAGTTCACCTACTGGTTGGCCCGAGGAAAGCCTTAGGGAGCAGGGCTTCCTTGCGGGGTGGATGCCACGGGGCTGTAGGCAGCCGGGTTTGTGCGGGGCTGTGGGCTCCCTGAGCTGCAGCTGAGGAGACACGAAGCCAGCTCTCTGAGGCGGCGCCTCTCGCTCCCTTTCCCGCGCAAACCCAGCGCCTCCCTCCCTTCCTCCTCGTCCAGCATGAGGGGCAGTGGGGCACGAACGTGCCCGCGCCAGGGAGAAGAAAGGGCGGCGTTTGCCCCGCGGACACGTGCCCGGCGCTGCAGCGGAGTGCGGGGGG